GTCCCGGTAGTAGGAAGGTTTCGTCGTCAGATTTCACATCCTCATAAGGAGTATACCTACATATATTAAACCAGGACACAGGTCAATTGACCATATTGGTATATAAGTTAACACCCTTATGACATATTGGTATATAAATTATTGTCGGCGACATATTGGTATAAAAATTAACATGTGGCGACATATTGGTATATAAATTAACAAATTGTGACATTTACCCCTACTTTTTCTTCGGATGAAAGAGCGTGTTGTATACTTCAAAATTTTATTTTAATTACTTTTGCAATATTATTTATTATCATAATATACTTATTCAGCACCAAATAATAATTTTTCCCTCTTCCCTTCCAATACAATAACTTTGATAAATCAATCAAACGATAAAACCCCAAAGAACTAATAAACAATAGACAAAATCTCAATATTAGTTATTAAATTTCAAAACCAATTACTAGTAGACGCTAACTTTCATTATTACTTCATTTGTATTATATCCACAACTTTGTAAATCAACAATATAATAAGAAAATACATATATATGAGTGTTTTTTTTTTTTTAAAAAAAAAAGAAGAATCTACCCTTGTGATGCTTCAATGACTAACGGCTCCAACGCCCTCAATACATTCAAGCTTATATCCCTTTGCTCAAGCTTTCCTATTCGTTTCCCCCTAGCTTCTTTCTCATCACTTTTGGGCTTCCAACCTTTTTTTTTTTTTTTTGGATTTTTACTTCATATTTTTTTTAAATTAATATAAAACGTAGAGAAAAGTACAAAAAAACAAAATGTCAAATAAAAGTTATTAGCACTAAAATTAAGCGCGTGTATTATACACATATCCTCCGACGAGAAAATAGGGGTAAATGTCGCAATTTGTCGACTTATATACCAATATGTCGCCACATGTTAATTTTTATACCAATATGTCGTCGGCAATAACTTTTATACTAATTTGTCATAAGGGTGTTAACTTTTATACCAATATGGTCAATTGACCTACAATAAATGTTAGACAAAAAATTAATTTAGATATTTAAATGTAATTCCTATACTTTGACCTCTAATCAATGGGAAATTCCCTGTTGACCTCAAATCAAATTAATGGGATATTTAGAGAAATAAAATTTGTTTTTTTTCGTGAATAAATTAATAATTTTTCCATTATTGTGGACTCCACAATTAAATAAAATTATTGGTTTATTTACGGAAATGCCATGTGAAAAACCAAAAAAAAATTTCACTATGAGAAAGTTGAGCATCCCACAAATCAATAGACGATACAACAATAAATGACTATATAGGTTGTACATACCTATCAATGGCATCAACAGCTGAGAGGGCAAAAGCAGCTCGAACATGGTAAATCAAACGAGGGATACCAAGGTTGGCAGCGAGTTCAGTGGTCCAAAAACAGTGCATATCAGCGACAATACAGTCAGGCTTAGCAGCCCGAACCTTAGCTTCGATGGGAGCTTGAAGCATGAAAAAAGCTCGGAAGATTTTACCGGCAATTTCCAAGTTAGGAGAGGCACTGAAGTTCTCAACCCCCTCGGGCAAGCCGACTTCCTTGCTAGGGAAGTGAACATAGTCGAGGTCGATGTCAAGGCCGAGTTTGTTGAGGGAATCGATTGAATCGCGAAAAGAGAGGGAGTTGTGATAAGTGGTAAGGAATGTTACGTGCACCCCGCGGGATGCAAACAACTTAGCAATTTGGAAGAGAGGTAAGTAGTGACTCGGTGTCAAGTACGGGATAAAGTACGCTGTTAGATTGCTTTTTTTGCTTCCATTTTCTTCCATGTGTTTTTTTTCTTTACAAACTTTAGTGCGTGTACATATCAACCTGACTTGGACCCGTTATTTGTAATGGAATGACTTACTACGTATTTTGTATAAGGGTGGAAAGACTGGAAACTGGGTGCTCGTGTTCCTCGAGGAACGGCGACTGTAGATTATATCTGAGACGAGATTAGCTCGTAATTACTCCGTACTTATCATTTATGATTCCTCAAAAGATTTTGACACTGATGCAGTCAATGACTATTGATTTACCTCTTTTTTTAGTGTGTTTGATAATCAATATTTAGGCCCGGTTAACTTCACCTTAAAAAAATAATATTAAGCAAATTTAATTTCAGTTTAGTAAAAATAAATTCAGTTCAGTAAAGGTAATTTCAGTTCATTAAAATTAATTTAAGCTCAGTAAAAATAATTTAGGAGTAACTAGTATGATCAGGGGTTACTAGGTTTGAAGGGTTACTTAGTCAGGGATTACTAAGAGAATCAAGGGTTACTTGTTTGTTAGCTAGTCACACCGTGTGACCAACCACACACAAAACTTGCTGATTATAAATAATAGAGATGGGAGTAGGGAGAGGGGAAACATGATTTCATAAGGTTATAATCATCTATCTACATCATGCCTAACATTAACCCACTAAACCCAGCCACTACTATTATAATTTCACTAACACAAACTAATTAACTAAAAGTTAACTAGCCATTAAATTAACAATTTGAACTTTTGAAGTAAATATTTAAGCACAGAAAAGTTTTCATAAGTATGGTAGAGTTTTATGTTCTTTAATTTGTAGGCTATAGTTATTGGTCAAGAATATCAATATAACTCAAACAATTCATCTACTGTAAATCTGTAATAAATATCTTACATATACTAGCTGTTAATAATTCCGGATAAAGTATACCAAAAGAAATGAACAGAGTTATGTCACAAATTTGTCCCTTAAAAAAAAAAAAAAAAAAAAAAAAAAAATTGGTTTTTGGAAGACTTGTTAAAAATAATCTCAACTTCCACGTATTCGCTTTAAATAATTTCAACTTTACGGTGTATTTGCTTAAAACAGGCCCAAACCGATTACTAACTTGTTATAATTGGTTAGAGTGACATGTGTCATCATGTGATTGTTTGTAAATTAAAAGAAAAATAGAAACTAATAATCCCACCTTTGCCAATTCTGTTCAAAACAATCTCATCTTTTTTAATTCCCAAAATAATCCTACCTTTAACCCTCATTTTCTCAAAATGAGCCTTTTAACCCACAACTTGTTTAACAGGTTAACTTTTTTTTTTAATTTTTTTTTTTCAATCTCTTATCTCCCACCTTAGCTATCCACCATAACCACCACCACATCACCAAATCACCCCACCACATCACCACCTAACCTAATCACCTTCTTTCTCTCCCCTAGCCCCGACCATCGCCATTCACCCACAAAACCCCCCTAACACCAACCACCTCATCCATCCCGAAATACCACCGCCCACGAATTCCAGCCACCACAAACTCCCACCACCCCCGAATCCCCACCACCCACGAATCCCACCACCCCCGAATCCCCACCACCTACGAATCCGGACCACCCACGAACCCCAGCCACCACAAACTCTCACCACCCACGAAACCCAAACCACCCCCGCCGATCTCACCCACGAAACCCACCAATCCTGAAATCCCAACCAACCCACAAAACCCACCAACCCCGGAATCCCGACTAACCCACGAAACCCAAACCACCCACGAACCCCGATCGCCCACGAACCCCGACCACCCACAAAACCCAAACCACCCCGAAATACCGCCGCCCACGAACCCCGATCTCACCCACGAAACCAGGAAAAGGGAGGGGTGGTGAAGTGGTGTGTGATGCGGTGGACGGTGGTGGGGAGTTTATTTTTTTTTAATTTGCAAAAATTAAAATTGTACCAATCAAAAGGTGACACATGGCAAGTCACCTTCTAAAATAAGTTACCAATTTCACAAACCGGTAAAAGGCTCATTTTGTGAAGATGGGGGTCAAATGTGGGATTATTTTGGGAATTCAAAAAGGTGCAGTGGGATTGTTTTGAGCAGAAGTGGCAAAGGTGGGATTATTAGTTTCCATTTTTCCTAAATTAAAAAAAAAAGTTTAAAAACCTAAAATAAAAGAGAAAAACTTTTGTAAAAAAATGTAGCCCAACCACCACCCACGAACCACCTTCCCCACAACAACTGCGATGTAACCCCCTTCATCACCTACGTGCCGGCCAGAATCCCCTCTCTCATGCCGGTAGCTCCCTTCCCCCCAAAACCGCCAATTTCATAGCCTAAAACCCCCGACATTCCACCCACCGGACCACCCAAAATTCCTAAAACACCTCCCCCACTGCATAAAAACCATCAGCCGCCCCTCCACCGCCATCAGAACCCTTGCGCTAGGGTTCCGATGGTGGTGGAGGGGCGGTTGGGGTTTTATGCGATGGGGGATGGTATTTTAAGGATTTCAAGCGAGGGTTTTGGGATTGGTTGTTTAAGGGAAATGGGCGTCAGTTAGGGTGGTGCTAGCGTGGCCGCGTGAGGGAGGGGGTTTGGCCTTAGCAGGCTGAGGCTGGGGACTTGGGTTAGGCCGGTGGTAGGCTTGACGATAGTGGTTGTCGTGGGTTGGGGGATTGGGGTTGGGCTTTTTGTTTTTGATTTTTTAAATATGTTTTCAACTATTAACACAATGAAACGTGTTAATTAACTTTAAAAAAATTACTTGTTTAATAGGTTACCGGTCACATACTCACATGGGCCTGGTTAATACACCTCAAAGCTGGAATTATTTAATAATTATTTAGAGTTGAGATTATTTAAACCAAAGATGTGAAAATTTGGATTATTTTACAGAATTTCCTTAGTTTTTTTTATCTTGGGTGTCATGAGAGCCACGAGGCACAACGTCAAGTAGGTAAGATTTTAAAGAATTGCGGGATCAAATTAAATACTGTAATTCTATCATATCAGTCATCAACTAACATATCAATCAGATTACTTTTGAGCTATTGCTTTGTATTAAATTAATGTTAACAGATTATTTAATTAATGAAAGCCCCATTAACCCAAAACAACAAAAAAATTAGGTAAACAACCCACTCTTATTAAATTTTATTAAAAATTTCGTTTCAGGAATAAGTAAAGGTATCACGTATACGGTATACATACTATGTGGCATGTGGTGCACGAGGGCCAAGGATACTACGTATAAGCGAGCATCATGTGGCAAACAAGAATCATTACATTATACGTTGTATAAAAAATACCCTACAAAAGTACAAAGATCTACTCCGTATTATTATTTTAGTACCAAGTAAGTCCAAATATATGCAACAACAGACACAGGTTCGGTTTAATAAGAAACTACATACACAAAATTAGGGATGACTTCAAGTTTACTAAAAGAATTGGGTTTTCTGGGTTTAGTTATAGTGGGAGTGTTCTTGTTGATGCCCAAAAATACTGCGACCTCATTCGACACAAATATAAAAGTTGAAAACAAGGACAAGTTGTTAAGATTCAACAAAAATGGAGAATTCAAGATATTGCAAATCTCAGACATGCACTACGCCAATGGCAAGGACACTCCTTGTAGGGATGTCTTGCCATCTCAAATGGAATCCTGCTCTGATCTCAACACTACTCATTATCTCCGCCGTTTCATCGACGTTGAGAAGCCTGACCTTATTCTTTTCACTGGTATGTTATCTATATATACATGATTTATTCTTTCAAAAAAAAAAAATATATATATATATAGAAATTGATACTCCGTACATAGTATGGATTAATTTTTATTGGGAAATGAACTCAAAGATATTCAAGTTGAAAAGTGTGAAATTCGATCTGATCATAATGATATGTTGTACTGTATTAATTAATTAATTAATTATGAATGCAGGCGACAACGTGCATTCAATGGAAGCATATAACTATAACAGATCAATGGATGAAGTATTTGCAGCAGCAATTGAGTCCAACATACCATGGGCTGCTATCCTTGGTAACCACGACGTAAATGTACTGCAAACAGGATTCTCAAGACAAGCAGTAATGGAATACATTGTTGGTATGAAAAACACTCTGTCTCTTCTCAATCCTTCCAATCTCCAACAGGGTGAGTCCATTTGGGGATATGGCAATTACAACTTGGAGGTCGCCGGTTTCGAAAACTCCCCTTTTCGAAACAAGTCTGTCCTTAATCTTTATCTCCTTGATACCGGTGACTACACCTACAGCCTCGCTCCTACGTTTTACATGGGATATGAGTGGATCCAACCTTCTCAGCAATCTTGGTTCCTTCGCACCTCTAAACAACTCCAACAAGCCTACACCAGCCCGCCCGAAGCACAGCAAGGACCCGCTCCAGGGTTGGCATTCTTCCACATTCCTATACCCGAATTCAACAAAATCAAGGAATCTGAGATGGTGGGTGTAAAACAGGAGCATGTCATTTGCCCCGGTGTTAATTCAGGGTTCTTTGATACAATGCTTGAAGCCGGAGATATTAAGGCTGCATTTGTAGGACATGGTCATGTGAATGACTATTGTGGTAAGCTCTGTGACATACAACTTTGCTATGATGCCGGATTTGGGTACCATGGATATGGATTAGCCGGTTGGGCTAGAAGGGCGAGGGTGATCAATGTTAAGTTGGATAAAACTAAAGATGGTAATAATTGGGGTCCTGTTAAGTCCATCCTTACATGGAAGCGACTTCACGATGATCGTCTCACTCTCATTGATCCTGAAGTCCTTTGGACCTCTACTACTGGTAAATTAATTACTTACCACTTTTTAATTTATGTTTGTAACAAATAAATTATCAATGGGTATTTTGTTTGAGGGCTTGCATTTCTATATATGCAGGTGGAGATGGAGATCAATCTTTGTTCAAACCAATTATGAGCGAATAAGATTGTTTGCTGATGATGTTGATGGAGATGCAGTTACAAACTAGATAGTAGTATTTAGAGATTAGTATATATAGCTAGCTGTATGAAGCAAGAATAAAATCTGGCCTATGATTATGATTAGCTTGTACTTCAAACTCATATTTGTCTTGTACTTGTTTTATGTAATCTTGGACTGGCAGTTTTGGGCCTCCATTTGAAGTATCTTATAAAATGTGTACTTTAATATATAGGTCATGAGCTTAACCAGGGCATGGGATTGAAGTTTCTTATTAGGAGGGATATTCTGACCATGTATATTACCAAGTACTCGTAGTATATATGAATATCGTTGAAGTTTCTTAAAGTCTTTGATGGGGACATCATTAACAATTTAACACCATGTACCTTTCTTAAAGTTTTTTTAAAATACGTGTGTATTATTGGGTGGTAAAATACAAAATTTTCTAAATAAAATAATTAAGCAAACCCCTCTACATTTTGCTGTCAAGATGCAAAATTCCTTGGCCTGTCTATTTCAATATTCATGGTGATGAGCCAAACCAGGGCATGGGGTTTCTCTCTCCAATTAACGACACCCTTTCTCATACGGAATACGGAGTAATTAATATTTTAACACCTTCTCTCCTCCCGTGTTCATAAATACATGCATCACTTAAATATATTCTTGGAGTTATAAGAATATTTTTTTTTTTTTTTTGAATAGATAAAAGAATTTATTTGTTATAGTATTGTATTATGCAAGTGAACAAGTGGGTGTTTTTTAAAAAATGTATATGAGAGATATTGGATGGTTTTTATTTATTTATTTATTTATTTCAAGTTGAGACCATGCATGAGAGAGTAAGTGAGGATTATTATATTATTGTTGTAAGAAAGGAGACAACTATTCAATTACAATATGGTGGAAATTTATCATGAAATAGCAGGAGTGATTTGCCTTAATATAATTGGATCAAAAATTAATTCCCAAAAGACAATAGTTTAAAAATAAATTCTCAAGATACTGTCCAAGTAGGATCCGATGCTTGGTTCAACTTAGAATTGTTGATGTCAATAGGGGTTTATTAGAGGTTTTTTTTTTCCCTTAAAAAAATAAAATAAAAAATAAAAGGGACCCTTGTTACAGGAAGCAGGTTTGTTTGTTCTTATTATTATGAAAAGGACACCTACACCACAGTAAAGTGGGTTTGTGGTTTTTTTCTTTTTTTTCTCAAAAGGAATATAAACCTGTTATTTCACAATGTGGTCTCTTTTTGCACATATAAAGGGTTAATGCATTTAAGGAGGGAAAGAGACCTGTTACTAATAAAAGGAGGTCTTTTTTAAAACCGCTAATAGTAATATGAATAGTGGTTCTAAAACAAAAACTGCTACTGTTATTTAACAGTTTATGGTGAACCAAATTAAAATCACATGTGGACGATATTTAGGAAATTTATTTTTAAAATAATGTATCGTTTTTACATTATTGTGGGAAATCACCCGAATATAATTAAATAGGACTAGTAATGCGATAAATTTGGCGCATGAGGACCACGGGGCACAGGCTGTTCTCGGTGTTACAGATCGAGCAGTTAGATTGTTCACAGTCAGCGGAACCAATCGTTAGAGTTAGTCAACGACCATGCCCAACGTGGATCATGTGACATGTGCCAATTGAGGTACTGTATACTGTATACATATTTAAAGTATGATAGTCGTACTTAGCGGCAGATATAAAGTATAGTATACGCTTGGGTACTACAATTAGTCTTTAAGTGGGATTATTACTAAAAAAATAAAAGAAGTAAAAAAAATGGGTTTTTTGGGTTTACTCATAGTGGGAGTTTTTGCATTGATGCTCCAAAATGCAAGCTCATTCAACACAAATATAAAAGTTGAAAACAAGGACAAGTTGTTAAGGTTCAACAAAAATGGAGAATTCAAAATATTGCAAATCTCAGATATGCACTACGCTAATGGCAAGGACACTGCTTGTAGAGATGTCTTGCCATCTCAAATGGAAACCTGCTCTGATCTCAACACCACTCATTATCTCCGTCGTTTCATCCATACCGAGAATCCTGATCTCATCGTTTTCACTGGTACGTATCTATTCAATCTATTGGGCATACAATTGTAGTCTATGTCCAACTCGGGTACGTGTCAAGTGTACAGTTTTGTAACTTATTGTAGCAATAATCCGATAATTTGAATATATATGCAGGAGACAACGTCCATTCAGTAGATGCGTATAACTATAACAGATCAATGGATGAAGCATTTGCAGCAGCAATCGAGTCGAATATCCCATGGATTGCTGTACTAGGTAACCACGACGTGAATACACTTGTAACCGGAACTCCAAGAAAAGCAGTCATGGAATACATAGTTGGATTGAAAAACACTCTATCCCTTCTCAATCCATCCAATCTCGAACAAGACGAGTCGATTTGGGGATGGGGTAATTACAACTTGGAGGTCGCCGGTGTCCAAGATTCCCCTCTCCAAAACAAGTCTGTCCTTAACCTTTACCTCCTTGATTCCGGTGAATTCACTTACAGCCTCCCTCCCAATTTTTACATGGGATATGAGTGGATCCATCCATCTCAGCAATCTTGGTTCCTTCGCACCTCCAAACAACTCCAACAAGCTTACACGAGCCCACCCGAAGCACAACAAGGACCCGCTCCAGGGTTGGTGTTCTTCCACATTCCTATACCCGAATACAGCAACATTACCGAGTCCAATATGGTGGGTGAAAAACAGGAGGATGTGTATTGCCCCGGCGTCAATTCGGGGTTCTATGACACAATGCTTGCAGCAGGGGATATTAAGGCTGCTTTTGTAGGACATGGACATATCAACGACTATTGTGGTAAGCTTCGTGACATACAGCTATGTTACGGAGCTGGATTCGGGTACCATGGATATGGCTTAGCTGGTTGGGCCAGAAGGGCAAGGGTGATCAATGTTAAGTTGGATAAAACCGAAGATGGTGATTGGGGTCCTGTTAAGTCCATTGTTACCTGGAAGCGACTTCATGATGATCGTCTCACTCTTATTGATCCTGAAGTCCTTTGGGCTTCTACTACCGGTAACTACTTACCACTTTTTGCTTTTATTATATTCACGAAAATGCCCCCATAAGAAACAAATTTGTGCCGGTATTTACAATTGGGAATTTTCTATGCAGGTGGAGATCGAGCTCAATCTTTGTTTAAACCGATTATGAGCGAATAAGCTTATTTCATTTGCTGATGCTGATGGAGCTATGATGCAGTCCAGCAAGCAGACGCCAAATGCTTGACTAGTAGCTTAGTCTGAGCAAAAAATTAAAATAAAAATAAAATTTTACCTTACTTTGATTATTGTATCAAATAAAAAGAAAAGCAATGCATGTACTCTTGTATTGATGATTAAGGACTTAGATTTGAGGTTCCTTAATCATTAGATATAATAATAATCCATACTTTGGTAATAGGAATTCTTAAGCCTACATCTATACAAAACTATATACTATATGAGATGTAACCCCGGCCCGGCCCTTATTCTAAGTGATGATATGAATTTCAAATTACTTTGTTGCGTACCATATAATACAACGACTTATGTCATAATTCTACAAGCTAAGAATTACACTACTCCTGCCTGACTTCTGTCAAAATTGTACAAGAATTTACAATTGAAGCGATTGGGGCTGTGGGTTTTACAACGCAATTCAACAAATAATAAAAGTTGCTCTTGTTGGGCCGCGCACACACCACATTAGCCTCTTCGGCCTGCACATTTATTTTTAAACATCTTCTCAAAAAGCTTTAATTTAGGGGTGTTAAAAATATCTAATCCAAAAATCCGATGATCCGACCTGAGATTTTATAAGGTATTCAATCTAGTATTAAGATTTTGGATAGCTAGGAATAAAAAATCGAGTTTTTGGATCAAATATGGAACAATTGTTTTTTTTTTTTCCGAAAACCCGATTATTCAATCCAAAAATCCAGATATCGGAAAATTTTGAATCGTATTCGTATCATAATTTCTCTGAATTTCGGATATCGGATCTGATCAGATCCAATATCCAAAATTGAACAACCCTACCGATCTATCATATATTCTCTTTTATCTTTCTCATTCTTTCCATGTGAGACTTAAGTTGCCAACCCCAACCGCTCTATCATATATTCTCTTTATCTTCTGTTGGTTGATTTCAATTGGGTATATCATGTGTCAACAATTTCAATAAATTGAGATCATCTTAGCATCCAAATCAAAATAACAATTGTCTACGAACACATAGGAAGCCAGTATTTGATTTTAAAATTTGATGGTTGATCAAAGAAATAAACAGAAGATTTCATATGGATTCATAATTGGGACAAAAAAAGACATAATAAACCATAGTGCATTATTAAAATGTATCATACTTGCAGTAGTTGTGCCTCGAACATCCCATCTACTTGGAAACCATCATCTGACTACATTATTTGGCTTGCCAACTGGAATTACCATAGATCCATTTCTGCTAATAATATTCACCATTCAATAAAATCAAATCATCTAAACAAATCACTCGCATTTTATGCATGACCTATAAATATATACTTTCTTATTTTCCTTCTTAATAAAAGAAGAAAAATAAAATGTTTTTGACTGGTTAAAAATCTTTACGTTGTACACTTGACATTTACACGGTTGTATATAATACAAATTACATTTTTGCTTTTCTACAAAGCAAGATTTTAGCACGTACTAAAAAATATCAAGCAACGTTGTGCATAAATATCGGCTAAGGATAACAAACCCTTGCTAAAAGTAGAGGATCAACACATTCACCGCTCCTCCTCACATAACAAACTTATGAAATTATTGTATGATAAAAATTAAATCTTTTAAATTTATAAAAAATACTTACTAAATTAGTATTTTATTTTATTTGGTTCTTAGAACAAGAGCTTTCGGGGTGGTAGGTACCCTAAGCTCAATCGCTATCATTAGAAAAAGTCCAACACACCTTTATAAACCAAGATAACCCAAACTTGTTGATTGTGATTGGGTTTTCCAAAATGAATGTGCGATTGGAGTGCTCTCCATCGCTTAAACACAAGCTTAAACACACATTATTATGTGGGTGTTTCAAGCATCACTCCGTCGACTACGACCACTTGCCCAATGATGGCTCCCCTACCTCCCACCACCAACACAATAATCACCGCCTCACCCGAACCTCCTCTGCGGGTGGGGGTGGGGGTAGTGGTGGGATGAGATCATCAAGGTCCGAAGAGTTTCTAAATCTAAAACATAAGTGTCGCAGTCTCATGACCAGAATGGGGACGAGCACCCCTCGTGGTCATCATAGGAAATCTCAATCTACGGATTTTCGTTACGACCCTCTTAGCTATTCTCTCAACTTCGATGAGGATGATACTCTTGTTGATGATTATCCCTATCGAAACTTCTCTTCTAGGTTGCCACCCTCGCCGCCTCCGGAACCTCCAACAAGGTCCATTTCTGATGGGGCGCTCGATAAGGCCGCAACTTCTCATCAGGATGAAACATCTTCTACGTCTACGACCCTCACCACTCCTCCACCGCCCAGGGTCATCACTGCGTACAGCTAAATTTTAATTTTAATTTTTAATTTTTTTTATTAACAAGTTTTGGTTTATATGGCAATATAAAGTTACGTTGTTGATCTATAGGAAAAAGGAGATGAAATGTTTGTGTTGACTTTTTTATTTTATTTTTTAATTACATCATGGGATTTTATTCAATTTGCGTGGATAGAATTATGATTTAGTAATGGGTTTGATCTGAATAGATGGTATGTCATCAATATGTTGTGAAAATGGTATTGAGTTTTTTGTCCTTCAATTTAAATTATTCCCCTTTTGGTACATAAATGTGTTATTCATTCAAAGAAACATATTCTTGAGGAAGATTAGATTGATCTTATCTTGAAATAGGCATATGTTGTTTACTTCTGCCCATGGAGAATAACCAAAGAACTACTCATGAAACTAAGTTCGACGGTATATGATCTTGATCAAGCATCGATATCTCCCTCAAATTTTAACCCAATAAACTAGTTAATATACGCAGGTTGACTTTTACTTTTATCCTCGTACAATAAAAAGAATTGGAGTTGGGAGTTAAGTTATTAAGCTACCTTGTATCATTGCATTTGCTCCATGTATGGTTGACTCAAGCCCCATACACACAAATATTACACCTACCTAGTAACATGCAATTAAGTTTGCTATCTTGGGAGATCAATCCAATCTAAAACAAACAACATGCCATCATCAATTCAATCAATTTAATCACACAATTATCATCAAATTTATCTCAAATAACTCAATTAACCATAACAAAGCTTCACTCAACACCTAGTAGAAGGAAATCTACTCAAACATGATTAACAAAGCAATTAATAAAGCATAAAGAGAGAAGAGAGTAAGAAATGCTCATTGATATAAAATGGAGATCTTCAAATCATCAAATTCCTCCTTTGATTATCCAAAATCCATGAAAACCATTGTGCTCCTCACTTTCTCTCTCCAAAATTTGAGAGTTTCTCTCTCTAAAAACCTAAAACTAACCTAAAAACTATTCTAAACTGAAAAATCTTTTTTTTTTTAATGAGCAAAAAAAATCTATTTATACCCCTTACAAAATTGCTTAGGAAGCTCCGCAAAAAGTCAGCTGAAATGGGAAAAGGTCCGACCGAACTCTGTGTAGGTTCGGTCGGACTCAGGGTAGGTTCGGCCGAACTCAGGGTAGGTTCGGTCGAACCTCCCTGATCCTTGTTTGGTCGAACTTTCCTGGTTCGACTCCTCCTGTAAACATGCTGAAAACTTGGTTGAAACTGCCTTGGAGGTTCGGTCGAACTTTTCAAAAGTTTGACCACACCTTGGTTCGATCGAACCTCTTAGAGGTTCGGCCACACCTCCTCATGAACTTCCTCTTCTTGCTTCCTCTTCTTCCCTTTTGCTCCTCTTGTCTTTGTCCATGCCTCCATACTTGGCCAAGGGGCCTCCTACCGTGCTTAGGACCGTCATGGAACCTGCAAAAGATAGCAAAGATCACGAGAGCATGGGGATGATAAAATTATGCATAAAGATTATCAAAACAAGCGCAAATAAGCATAATTTTCATCCATAAAAGAAAAGGAAGCCATAAGAGGAGAAAAGAGGTAGAAAACCTAAGAAAAACAGGAGAAAAGAGACCAATACACTACCCCTAAGGGTAACATAAATGTCACTCATCAAACACCCCCAAGCTTAACTTTTGCTCATCCTCGAGCAAAACAAAACAAACACAACGGAAAACGATGTATATTTTTTTTTTTTTTAAAATAAAATAAAATAAAATAAAATAAAACTAGAAGAGAAAGAATATACACTAACTCACTTTCGTAGGAATCACGAATGCATTTAGCGCATGCATCAAGCACTTTAAACCCCATAGATCGCTCTAGAGGACGAGTAAGCTCTCGTAAGGGTGTCCTAAGAGTTTAACCCATAACTCTTGACAAAAATCAAGGCAAGACAATAAATAAATAAAATAAAATAAATCGAAGTAAGAGAAAAGTTACAAGCGTTCTAGAGTGGACTTTTATGATGGAACAAACACTAATGAATGTCAATCTTTCTAAAATAATAAAGGTATGCACGTTCTAAGATGTCCAAGGTTGATTGAAACATAACATATGCTAAGCATAGAGAACTAAAGGAAACACATTCCACCTTTTGTTTCAACCAATCAAACCACGTTCTCTCTACTAGTTTCAAATCCACTTTCAAGTTAGCTTCTCATGATTCCACGAAGAAACCGGAAAATAAATAAGAAATTAAAAACATTGAGAAGGTTACCCGACATCTTGGCTATGCAAACTCGCTCTATAGGCTTGATTCCTATTTCCCGCCATCATTGGATGACTTAACCCTCTAGGATCAAAAGGACTTTCAAGGTATTAACATATAAGCTAGGAGAGTAAAGGTGTGGAGAACTCTTGAAATTGGTGGTAAACCTATGTGAAGCACGGGTGGAACATCTTCCACAAGATCCAAACGATTCCAAAACAAAAGTGCCAAGTATGCTTATTAAATAACTTTCCCCCAAGCTTATTTAACACAAAATAACAAAAACAGGGAGAACAACAATAACAAAACCCTTTTTTTTTTTTTTTTTTTTTTTTTTGTGCTTTACATTCTTCTTTACTTTTTTTTCAATAATTCCTTTTTCCAAGCTTTTTTTTTTTTTTTTAAATGTCCTTGCCTCTTTTAACTTTGGACGGCTTTTTTCTCAAAATGTATTTGGTTTTATGCAAAAAATTATATACAACACATACTTGCTTTGCAAATAAACTTATAATTCTAAACTTGCACCATAAACAATAAAACAAGCTTCAAAACAAAATTGCTTCACAAACTAAAGGTAGGATTTAAAGTGAAACCAAGGCTGGAAGGCTTGTATTAAGGTTAGAGAAAAGAATGTATATGGCTCAAAAGGGCTAGCAAGAGGGGCAAATATAAACTAAACTCAAAAATAGAAAATCTATCCTATAAAAAGAGAAATTCCTTTGTCATCCCCTAAAGTGGCACGGTCGCGATCTTGGGAGCTAAAAGTCAAGTTCTAGATACGAGAATGCAATAGCCAAGGATCCAAATATGCCGCTCAACAAAGTATGATGAAGGCTTGAACAATTTACCTCACTAGGGATAGCAATAACTAACTCTTGATTTCATATCCACCATAGAGAGCAACTCCATCTTACCACAAGCAAGTGAACTAGGGCTTCATGGTCTCAAAGTTCTTAACAACTACCTTAGCATATCATATCCTAGAGTCAACCTAACACATTCTCAAACCGTGCATACCTTTATAATTTAGGAATAAAGACATTCAAGAATACAAGTCCAAGCGTATTATGTCAAAAGTAAGAACAAAACAAAACACATTGCAAATTTGCCTTGATAGAAACAAAATCTTTTTGGAATTTTCAAAATAAAGAAAATGGAAATGCATATACAAATGTGCATGGCATATATGAATCAAAATTCCACCAAACATGATAGAATACCCTCCCCCAAGCTTGAATGAGGCAACATGCTCAAACTTTAAACCAAAGAATCCATGGGAGGAGAAAAGAAAGAAAGTCATCCAACCAACCAACATATGTCCAACAAGTCACAAATCATTAGAGGAAGAGCAAGGAAGGATATTACCGGATATTAGGTGGGTATATATACCCGCAAATGACCCAATTAAAATTTTCAAAGCCACTCTTCTCAAGAATTGAATCTTGTTTTCCATATGATAGCAATTGTGGTGCCAAACTTCCTTGATTCTTGATCCAAATCAATGCACCAAAGTATATCAAGTTATGTACCTAGAAAAAGGCACACAAACATTTCCATGAGAGAAAATCTATTCTAAAAAGAAAAGAAAATGAAAGCAATAAAACACGGGTTACTTCCCGAGAAAGGCTTGCTTAAGGTCCAAGCTTGACCGCTCTAGTAAATAATATTGCAACGATCGCAAGAGCTTGTCAGATGCACTACTACACATCTCATAAGATAACAAGTAAGCAAATGATATAAGAAGGGCATGCACCAAGATTAGTGCCCGCAAAAGAAGGTGAAGAGGGAGTTTCCAAGAAGAAGAAGAATCAAAAGAAAATTCAAGAAAATAAGAAGAAGAATAGAAAGGCAAACTCTCTTCACAAAAATCTTTTTGGGTGGAAAAATCACCCTTTTCCTCAATTGAAGACGAATGAGGGACATAAAAATCTTCATAGGCAAGGGGGTCCCCAATAGGCTCATTAACAAAGGAAGGAAGGGATATAGGAGTGTAGGGGATATGGTTGAAATTCCTTGAAAAAGGGACATGAGAGAAGGGGATAGGAGCAATGGTCTTACAAATGGTCTCTTCTTCACCACCATTCCTCAAATCACCAATTTGAGCATGAAAATCAATCATAGAATCCTCAAAAGAACACTCATGATCATGATCTCCCTCAAACATCCAACTTCCAAGAGGAACTACATAATCCCCTTCACTACAATCATGAACAACAACTCCCTCAACTTCCTTAAAGCCTAAAATCTCAAAGCCATGCATGAATGGATGCAAATTCATTTCAAAATGGTCTCTCTCCCATGAAGCATTCTTAATGAACTCACTCAAAAGGCTATGGGTTTTCATTTGACACTCAATAAACACATTAGACATAACCTTAAATGAATCCAAATACTCATGGATAAAAGGATCACAATCATGCACTTGAGACTCATCAAGATGGGAAAAAGGGTTAGGATTTTCAAAATCAACACTCTCTTCATTCTCAACTCCTTCACCATCACTCATATGCTCACCAATGGGATCCTCACACTTTCTTGGTTGCTCAAAATCATCATCATCATCCTCAACACACACATTAAATTGGGATTTTTCACAAACAAGCATCAAGGGTGACAATTGTCTTTCTAACTCTTCTTTTCTTCTCCTTCCCTCCTCAAGACGCTCCTCATTCTTTTTCATTATCTCTAATTGACCTCTCATAGAATTAAGAATCATTTCCTTACTAGGCCTAAGCTCATTATCAAGCTCAATGCACCTAATTTGAGATTCAAAAGTAGCAATAAGGGATTCAAAAGGTGTTGAAGGTTGAGGCTCAACAAGAGAAGAAGAAGTACAACCAAGATTGGAAAAATCAACATTAAGAT